TACTCACACATTGGCTATTTCTATTGATATAAAAGGCGCTTTCAACAATGTGAGACCAGCGATATTGAATAGACACCTGATCAACTTAAATATACATCCAAATATAGTTAATTTTATTACTTTTTTAACCTCTAAAAGGTGGATCTCCTTTTCCAATGGTCCTGACAGGAAACTCTGTGGAGTTGGTGTGCCACAAGGAGGAGTCCTCTCCCCTCTTCTTTTTAATATCTACTTAAGAAATATAGGAAAAATCCTACCTGTTAACTTTAAATATGTTATGTATGCCGATGACCTCCTCTTATATGTCAGGTTTTCGGACCTTGATTCAATCTTTGAGGAGGTCACAGCAGTTCTGCGCATTCTCAAAACTTGGCTTGCAGAATTGGGGCTCGATGTTGCCCCACATAAGACCAAATGTTGTGTTTTTTCCAGATCCAGAATTAACTTCGACGATCTGGAAATCCATTTGCGGGACACCTGGATTAAATGCGAAAAGACCCTAAAACTGCTCGGCATTACAATAGACAGAAAACTAACTTGGCTGCCACACATAAGATATATTGCTGATAAGGCAATTAGAGCTCTGAGTATAGTGAAAATTATAGCAAAGGTCACCTGGGGAACTTCCCCTCTACTCACACTTATGGTACATAAAGGACTTATCCGTTCCATCTTGGATTGGGGTTCTCCTCTTTTTGCAGATTCCCTTAGAATCACGTTAGGACTTATGAAAACCACCCCTACGAATATCCTACTTGCGGAAGCTGGCGAAATTCCCCTAGCAATGCGCAGAATCAATTTATCAAACTCCTTCATAATACGTAATATTAAATGGAAAGACAACCCTCTCATTCCAAAACTAGAATTAGAATTAGAATTTAGAATTAGAATTTCTTTATTTTGTCCCAGGAAAACCATGAGAACAACAATCAAATATACAGAAAATAAGAAAAACAAAAATAATAACAATTATAAATAAAAGATAATATCATTCGCAACATACTTTGAATAAATTTATCGCAATAGCAAATTATAAAATATGTATATAAATTTGAAAAAATTTCTAATCATCACGCGCAAACAAATAATTATGCAATTTGATTTTAAAAGTCGACGTACATTTAATTGAAATTATAGAGCTGGGAAGAGAGTTCCACAGAGATGTCGCAGTAATTATAAAAGAGTTTTTATATTGTTCAGTTTTACAAGGAGGAGCCCTGAGAATATTAGGACACCTCAACGCTCGAGAAGTAATTTCATCCCTGAAAGTAAATTTTTCATAAAGATATAAAGGTTTTTTAGTATTTAAAATGACATGTGTTAAACATCCAATAAACCAGTGCCGTCTTTTACGAACACTCAGCCATCCAAGTTTTCGACGATATGGCGTTACATGTACATCCATACTTAAGTTGAAAATAAATCGAATACAAGAATTGAGTAGCTTTTCTAGTTTATAATTTAATTCATCAGTTAAATCATTGTAGACAGCACAGCAGTAATCGAAATGAGGAAAGATTAAGGACGTTACAATCTTTATTTTTATTTCTGTAGTGAGGGCATTTCTATTTGCTTTAAATTGCGATAAACTAGCATAAGTGTTTTTACAAATTTTACCAACTTGCTTGTCCCAAGAAAGAGTTGGTCTATAGATAACACCCAAGTTTCTAACAGAATCAACAAAAGGAATAGTAATGTTATCAATCTCAATCGGGGGGTAATTACATTCATTGACATTATTTATGTACCAAGTAGATCCAAATATCATAGAATAGGTCTTGTTAAGATTTATTTTAAGAATATTGGTCTCAGCCCAATTTAATACAGACTGAACATCTTCCTTTAGTAATGATAAATTATGTTTTAAGTCTTTCAGACTAGAATGCATATAAATCTGCAAATCATCCACAAAGTACATATGCTTACAATATTTGAGGACACTACTTAATTCATTTGTGAATAATAAAAATAAAAGTGGTCCTAGCACTGATCCCTGAGGAACTCCAGTTCCAATATCAGCCCACTCAGAAATTTCTCCTTTAGCTCCAACAACAGCCTGCATCCTACCTGAGAGATATGAAGCAAACCATTTTAAAACAGAGCACGATAATCCAATAGATTTAAGTTTCGTTAGCAAAATGGTATGAGGAACCATATCAAAAGCTTTACTAAAATCAAAGAAAACAATTATAGTTACTTTTCGCTCATCAATTGCTTTACATATATCATCATTTACTTTTATTAAAAGAGTTTGAGTACTAAAGCCCTTTCTATAGCCAGACTGATAAGGACTCAGGATATTATTAAATTCAATAAACTCAATAAACTGAAAATAAACAATTTTTTCAAGGACCTTTGACAAGCAACTAAGTAAAGCTATCGGACGGTAATCCGCAGGCTGTTGCGGCACACTTACTTTAGAAACCGGCTTGATAAGAACTCTCTTCCATTCATCAGGAAAGGTTGATGTTTGCAAAGATAAATTAAAAAGATCAAGCACGTAAGGAAACAACACCGGCATGGCTTTCATGACAGCACTTATGGATAAACCATCAAATCCCTGTGCCTCTGTTTTAATACTTCTTAGAGCTTTCATTAACATAGATGGACATATATCCTTAAAGAAAAAAAGAGTGTCATCAAACTCATCATCACAAAAAAAGTTTGAAAGAAACAAAGGCTTAATATTAAAAGACGAATTTCCACAAACAGATATAAAGTAATCATTAATTAAATTAACATCAAAATTAAGTGGAGAATCATCCATTTTTCTCTTTGCAAGGCCAATGCGTCTAAGCTCACTCCAAAGTCTACCCGAATCAGTAATTAATCTCAGCCTACCGGCATTGTACTCATCACGCGCTTTTCTAATTGAAAATTTAACAATATTTCTAAGTGTTTTAAACTTATTTCGCAATGAATCAGTACCAACTCTCTTCCAAGCTCTAAAAACAGAATCTCTTTGCCGTATCATATCTCGAATGTCATCATTCATCCAAGGACATACATTCCGTCGCATTACACAGGTGCGTAGTGGAGCATGTTCATCAAGTGCCTTAATGATAGCATTACAAATAAAAGACTGCTTAAAATCAATAGAATGAGAAAGATAAAGATTGGACCAGTTTACAGAATTAAGAGTTGACAAGAAAGAAGTATCATCAATCCCAGAAATGTTTCGAAAAGTTTTAGCAGAACATGTTGTTTGTTTAAATGTCCATTTATAAGATATTGAAATAAGCTCATGTCCCGCTACAAAAGGTACATGGGATTGAGATACAGCAATCAATTTATCTTTATCATCTACCACACACAAATCAATCCAAGATTCAGAATTAGTCGTATGGTGAGTTGAATCGTAAGGCACAATAAATAAATTAAATGACTCAAAAAAATCTCTGATATAATTTGACTCAATTGATATCCCATTAAGATTATAGTTAAAATCACCACATATTACAACATTATCATACAGATTAAAAAATTTTTTAAAATGATACTCAAAATCATCCAGACTTTCTCCTACTATTGTTATTAACTACTATTGTTGAGAGGTAAACTCTCTGATTGATCCTCTGCATCAATCTATGTTGAGGATCGACCTATCTCTGATTTTAAAAAAGAGATTTTAATACCTGACATGAAAGTCTGGTTATTAAGACTTTGGCCCTACTCCATACAAGTTAGTGACAATCCCTATTTCCGCAACGTAAGCTATGAAACCATCAGACCCTGGTTCAAGAATATTACGCGACCCAGACGGGAAATTGTAATCATCAACAGACTTAGATCAACTCACATAGCGACAGCTGACCACCTCAGTAGATTTTATTAAGATGCGGCACTGGATTGTGGGTGTGGGTCAGCTTGGAGGAGCTTGGATCACATACTTTTCGACTGCCCCTTTCTTGAGCAAGCAAGACCGGATCTAATAAGGTATTTGAAGAAAAAATTTCCTGGAGTTGAACCGAGAGAGATCTCTTTGGAGGTTCTTCTATACTGTCCTGATGAGGAGCTAGTCAGGGAGTTGGGAGGCTTTATGGTCCTTGGTGGAGTTAATATTTAGTAGGAGTTAATGCCGGGGTCTCCCGCTCCCTCCCCTTCTTCGGACCGTTCATGCAAAATCTACAAGATCACTTGCTATGAATCAACCCAGGCCCGGCTTTAGGTGAAATTGCGCCCGGGGCGAATATGAAATGAGCGCCCTTTTATTATATATTGTGATACATTATATTATATATTATAATATACAAGAATCATAATATATTTGATACTTTTTTAAAAAATTAAAAATAAGATAACAGTAATAATAAATAATAAATTTATTACAATTCGTAAACTATTATATAATTACAAAAAATTTTGTAACGATATCTTTAAACGTTTTTAATGAAATTTTAACATTATTACAATAGCATTATAAACACAGCTTTTTAATATAGTTATATTAATTTTTCAGAATTAAATGAAATTGACTTTTCGTGCTTTGGCTTGTGCAAATTTTTCAATACTTTTAGATAAATCGAGCTGACTACCTATTTCATTTTCGATCGACAACAATGCCAATGAATTAAGTCTATCTTGACACATAGTTGACCTTAGGAACGACTTAATTAATTTTAATTTTGAAAAACTCCGTTCTCCACTAGTAACAGTTACTGGCAAAGTCAACAATATGCGAAGCGAAACCCAAATATTTGGAAAGATATCAATTATATTACTTTCAACAATGAATCGAAGAACTTCCAAAGGACGTTTGATTGATATAGATTTTATGTACTGAAATTGTTTTAACTCTTCATACAATTCCAGTCCGTTGATATCCGAGTCCGCGTCAACAGTGAGGAAGGTGCTTAACTCCTGACATTTGGATAACAAAATGACATCGTTTTCAGCAAAATCTTGAGATGATTGCCCTTGTGAATTACATGAAAAATCATACAAAAATCCCCAAAGATTTTCATGTGTCTTTAATTGCTGAAACCTTTCGTTCATAGAAGTTAAAGCTGTGTCGACCAAAACAAAAAAAAATCTCTTCGGAATTGTTCTTCTGGTGTAGTGTTTGCAGACTCATCTTGACTTTCGTAATCGAACATTCTTTTCTTTTTCCTTTTGCGAGTTGAAGTAACAAAGAATGGATCAGCACCAAGATTTTCAGCAAGTTCTTTAGCAGATTTTAAAGAAGATTCAAAACCTACATTTCTATAGACAGAAAGAAATTCGGTGAATTTTTTTATCCACTGTGTGGCAGCAGCGATGTCCATGCTTTGACTTTGCAAACTCTTGCTGACGATATTAGCTTGAAACAAAATATCATACCAAATGACTAAGGACATAAGAAATTCAAAGCGCATCATTTCGTTAGCTAAACATTTAGCTTCATGTTGTACAGCGGGATCTCTCGAATCAGAATTATATATTTCCATTAACGCGTTATAAACTTCCTTCGTTTGACACTTGATGGCTTTGACGGTATCCAATCTGCTTTCCCAACGAGTAGTGCACAACGGTTTAACAGTGAGATTTTGGACATGACTTTTTAGAATATCCCATCTTTGCGTTGAAGCTGAGAATAGGACATAAATGCGTTGAAGTACGCCAAAAAGTGTAATGCAGATTCTCGATGAGGAAGCAGCATCCGCGATCATTAAATTCTCGCAATGACACCCACATGGATTAAATGATGCTCTAGGATTCAATTCAAGAACCCTAGCTTGAACGCCCATGTTTTTTCCCTTCATGTTGGAACCATTGTCCTCGTAAATCTTCAATTCTTATATTATTTTCCTCGAGAGTTTTGAGTAAAAGATTTGTAAGTCCTTCGCCAGTTGATGTGGGAGCAATTTTGAACCCCAAAAAGTGCTCTTTGATTTCGACATTATTACCGTCAATTTCCACAAATCTCACAGTGAATGACATTTGCTCAGTATGGCTGTTATCAGGAGTACAATCAAGAATAATAGAATAATATCGTGCATTTTTGAATCTTTTCAATATTTCTTCTAAAACGTCCTTTGTCAAAAGATCAATTAATTCATTTTGAATATTTTTTCCGCAATAATGATCTTTTATTTCTTCCTTCGAAATTCTTCTCAAATGTTCTCGCATGATATCGTCAAACTTCCCGAGTAATTCTACTAATCCAAGAAAATTTCCATTATTTTTTGCATAAAGTTTGTCAGATGAGCCACGAAAAGCCAGATTGTGTTGAGCAAGATACATAGTTATCATCATGAGGCGTTCTAAAACAAGTTTCCAATGCTGAATTTCGTCGTTTAATAATTTTTGATGTTCTTTGTCTATTCCTTGATTCAAGGTAAGTTTGGATTTACACTCGAACCAGTTTTTAATCGCATTTATATGATCAACAGATTTCTCATGTTCTCGCAAACGCACGTGAATATGTTTCCAATCTTGCAAACCAGTTGTTGACAATGACGACAAACCCTCGACAGAAAAAAGTTTACAACAAAAACAATAAACCTTATTAGCACTTTCAGAATAAACAAGCCAACTTCTTTTAATTTCTTCGCCATTATCTAATTTTCTGACACAAAGATTCATAGAAAAATGTCGCTTTTGAGCATCTACTGGGAATTGCATAACCTTAATTTCTGGTGGCCCTTGAATAACAACTGCATCAATGATTTGAGAATGCAGATTCTTTGTCCAGTAAGCAAGATCAGTAAATACTTCAACTTCATTACATAATTTATCTTTTTCTAGAAGAATTTGTTTGTCCACTATTTTATCAATAGAACGAGACCGCTTTTCAATATTTTCTTCCTGAATTCCTCGACTCTCTGTACTTAAAATTGAATTTAAGTCTCCAGAATCCGTAGATACATCAGACAGAGACAAACATGCTTGTTGATGTTCTGTAGCATTCGAATCTTCACTTTTATTATTGGGCAACAAAAATTTGTCAAGATTGTGTGACAGCTTTTTTATTTCCGATTCCTTTTCAGCTTTTTTCTTTCTATTTGCCGCACCACAAAGTTTTTTCGAAACACTTTTCTCCATTGTTCGAGTTTATTTTTGCATTACACATAAAACCTACAAAATAGAAATGACACTTATACTGAAAGAAAAAGAATTGGAAATTTGTGTTTGAATTTGGAATAAGGTAGGTATAACATAATCACCGTCTATCCAAAACAATGCGCACGTGACAATTATTTCTATGAAGGCAATATTTATCAAAATAATTAATTAAAAAAATGTATGTCATTTATAAAATGAATAATTAATAATAAAATTTCCAATGTCTTTGGTATTTTTAACTTCAGTACACAAAGCAAACATTGCCTTGTATGTATTGTTTTGGTTAGAAGGCAAATATTGCATTTTTCCAAAAAATATTTACAATTCTTATTTCGTTATAGAAAAAATTTCCCGAAAAGCACCTCTCGAAATATCCGATTCAACATTCAATGTATTTTCCGCGCAATAGTGAAGTATTCGTTTAATTATTCTAATTTGACATTATAACAACAATGAGGTTAAGTAGATTTTGACACATTTCCAGGGAACAGTAGCGCAAGCAGTGGAGAAACATATAATCTAACAAAAAAACGCGCCAAGTTTAACTGAATAAACTTTTATATACATTTTCAAAAAAAATTGAGATTTCGTAATATTAAAATGTATGTGACGGTTGCTGGCTTCGCTCTTTGACAATCTACTCTACCTAATCTCTGGGCAGTGAAACTCTACTTATTAAAGTCTCAATGAAATTACACACATAGATGACAATATAATTTTGAACTCGGACACATTTCTGACATCTACAGCGACTGAACTTACTGGACTGCCCATCTTTCCTTCCCTGCACTTTTACGATATTACAAATGAAGGGTAACACTGATCTGACAACTCTGACCAATGTGAACTCACGTAATGTTCAACCGATATAGACCATAATGCCTCGCTAGGATCTCGGAGACATTCTACTCTATTCTGTTCTTTTCCTTCATGTTTGTTGTTCTGACAGTTGGCTGTGCCTGAAGTCATTTAAGAAGAAGAAGAAGAAGAGCTGAGAACGAATAAAATTATTTGGTTGTCTCAACCAAATTTTGGTTAGGACAACAAACGATCATTTGGTTTTTTAGACCAAACTATTTTATTGTGTTAACCTAATTATTTTGTTGTCGTAACCGAATTTTAGTTGGAATTTAAAAATGTTCAACCAAATAATTTTGTTGGCTTAACCAAATTTATGGTTGAGATAACTCTACGACTTTGTTTCAGCTAACCAAAATTTGGTTACAAGATCCAAAATTGCCTAATTAAACAATTTTGTTGCAAACACTAAATTTTTTTCTCAGTGTAGTTTTAACTTTGGTCTGCAGTAGATTCAACATTGGGCAATGTAGATTCTACTGCAGACCCAAGTTAAAACTACTTGAGTCTCGCGTAGCGCTAACTTTGGTATAGTTTACGTATACAGTGGTGTCTCCGTATCGTGCATCTTCTAACCACTGCGTGAAATTATTTTATAAAACAAAATAAAAAAATCGGGCCCAAATTTAAAAAAATTTAATTTGTTTATAAAAAATCGTTATTTATAGAGTAAGGATTTTCCCCAATTCGATTCTTGGAAGGAATAAAATAACAAAAAATGCATGTTATTAATGTTGTTTATTGCCACAAAACAAAAAACTATGTTTCGATGACTTGGTTTGTCATCATCTTCAGGCTAAATCAATAATTAGTTAAACAATTACATCTTAGCGTTAGAAAATTTTATTTTACTCAAACTAAGCTGGCACGTCAGGTATATAGACAGTGTATTTTTAAAAAAATAGAAAAAATTATATTTTTAAAAATTCATAACTCGAAAATTTGAGCACTTATGCATGCATTGAAATCGTCTTCACACGTGACTGCAAAGTGCAAACGAAATGCATGCATTATGACCATCACTGCGTGCCCCGCACGTGACGTGCGGAACATGCGGCGCACGATTGTTATCTGGGTATTTTTTTAGAAAATATTTATTCCTGTATAGGTTGTGGTTTCTTTCATAATGAAAACTATGAAATTAGTCTGTGACGTAAACTGGATGGATTAGGATTGAACTTCATGCTTCGTTTCAAATTTTTCAAAAACACACATTTTAAATCACGTTTATTCAAAAATCCTCAAAGATGTCCATAATAAAATACAGGGAATTGGAAATTAGAAAAATGAAGCTTTATTTTCACGTAAGTTTTAAGAAAATTTAAGTGGGGGTGTTTTGAGATATCAAGAGGTTAATATTTCAAAACGGAATTTCTTCATGAAATTGTGGGAAATTAAGAAAAATGTTAATACCAATCGAAAGGTCGTTAAATTCTCTTTCGAAATACTGTGTAACATTATATAAGTCACTTCTATTTTATATAGAAAAATTAACTTAAAAACGCCCTGGAGACAATCAAGTATTACGTAAGCATCTAAGGGGTCCAAATCCCTTGAAAATATGCTTACGTAATACTTGAATGGCCTCTCTGCTAGCGTTCGTCTTTTGAAGGTGGAACGGTTTGAGATAGAATGCCTCATCTATTTAAATTTACCAATTAAATTTTATTATCTATAGAGTGTTCAAGAATAGTATTAACAATCTGACAGTTTTACTGTTCGAAATTTGTTGATTTTAATAATACGTGTATTAAGGGGTTACACCACTTTGAAATTTAAAAAGAATCAAAAAATTTTTTTTTTCTTAAAGTACAACTTATAGGCATATAAATGATATGCTATATGGACCCTTCGTAGCTGATTAGAGGTAATTTTTAATTTAATCATTGTTAATCAGGACCAAACTGTTAAGAAAACTTTAAACACGTTTTTCTCAAAACTACATTTGAAAAATCGGTGGACACTCTAGCTGCCACAAATTTCAATCGATCCTCTTAATTTTTTTTATTTTCTTTGTGATATAATAATCTAGCGAAATACGTACGGATTTTTTGAAATATTAATATTTAATTTTTTTAGACAACTTTAAGTAACAAAATTTAGGCAAAAATAAGCATCGATGCCATTTTGCGAAAAATGCATTTTTCTTAAAACGGATACGTATTTCGCTAGATTTTAAGCTGCAGAAACTAATACTTTTTTTATTTTGATCTAGCTCAAATCTGGACCGAGGTATAGTGCCCACCGCACGGCGATACATTTTTGAAGCACTTCGTCATATCATCTGTCAGACCGACAGTTTTGAAAAAAACAATAATAAATATTTTTTTTCCAGTTCAAGAGTAGTATAATACCCTTCTGTATTTTAATTTTCTTAAAAAATTTCTATTCTTCAATAAAAATTGTTGAAAAAGCGTATTTTTTGGTCGGGTTAAAGTGGTATAACCCCTTAATTAGTTTAATTAAAATATTAAATGAATAAAAAATAAAGCCAGATTGATATTTTTTGCGTGTACTTTTAATTATTTAATCTCAATATAGGTACAATAATACAATGAAAGTGAAAAGGTGTAAATCCTTATCACCTGAACCATCAAGTAGTACAAATACTAAACGTGCTAAACGAGATGAAGATGATGTAGAATCTGGACGCTCAATTAAACCTAGTTTATTACATCTTTCTGATGATGTTTTGCTCATGATTATTAAATCTCTTGATCCTTTTGATGTAATGAGTTTAAGCAAGTAGGTTAACATATTTTAAAATGTATTAATTGCAAATTTAAATTGTATTATTTAAATTGTATTAATTTTTTAGATGTTGTCATCGATTGGATCAAGTCACACAAGACAGAACTTTGTGGTCTGTTATGGATTATCGATCAAAGTCAATGTCCATGGTTGAATTAGAAAAATATATCAAATTTTTTCAACCATCTGTAAAAACTTTTGCTATACGAGGAAATTCGGAAGCAAAGCGTTATTCTGAATTTACTAAACACTTTCTTACGACGATTATGAAAAATTGCACCCAACTTAAGGAATTATTAATAGAGGATTATTATATCAATGGAACAGAAGTAAGAATATAATTTATTATAATTGTCATATTTTAAGAAATATTTTTATTTAAACATCTGTTCTATTTCAGATACAAATTTTAGATTTACCATCGAGTCTTGAAAAATTATCTTTAAAAGGTTGCGATTTGTTACAAATGGAATTAAAGCAATCTTACTTTTTTGGAGTACATGAACATATGCCTCATCTCACGGTGAGTAAAATATCCATTTTTTAAAACTTTTTTCTTGTTTTCATTATCCATGTCAATGTTCATTATTTTATTTATTAATATATTACAAATTTAGTTTAATCAAATGTGTAATATTTTTTATATTTATTTCTTGTCTTTCTTATTTAATAATTTGCTATTCTGAATATTTCAAATCATCACAATTTTTGTTATTATAAATAATGTATTGTAAAAAATCAAGCTATTAATAAAAATTATAAGATTTTTTAAGTTTGGTTCGACCTTTTTTGGAAATTATAATTTAAGAAGCGATATCAAGATTTTGAAAATCATTTTACAAAGGTTTTTATGTAGAATCTGAATGTAAAAAAAATGCTATTTAATATTATGAATAATTTTCTTATATGTAAATTCTAGAATTTATGTTTACTGTTAATTTTAACATTGAAGTATATCATTTCATTTAAATTAAAATTCATTGATTTATTATTTTAATTTAATAATAATTATTTTATAATTATTTACGTTTATCAATATTTTTATAATTAAATTTTTTTCTTTAAACTCAACAAAAAATTAACGAAAACGTAATATATTAATTTATTTTAATATTTAAAACAATTGTATTAAATAATTTGCTTTAGGGTCAGTAGGGGTAAATGGGGACAAGAGGTGTTGTGGCTTAATTTACAGTTTTAAAATTAACCCCTTGACTGTGAGGTACGTCTATACACATACTTACAAAAAACTTAAAAAAAATAACAGATATACATCACACTGACGTTATTTAAGGGGTTAGTACCACATCTTTTTTCAAGAAAATCGATTTTCTAAAAACTGCATATTCTTGTAGTAGATATATGTAGAAATGCTATGGAAACTCTTATTTTGGTTGAAAACTTCAGTAACATATCGAAAAATGAGGTACAATGTAAAAGTCACGCGCTCATGGAGCTTACTCTTTGCGAGTACAATGTATGCTTTTATAAATATATACCTATATAAATATAAATATATATCAAATTACATATATGTATATGGGGCATTCTATTTTAAAATTATACCCATAGTAAACAATTGACAATATAAGACATTTTTTAAATAATTATTTCTCCCATTTAATTAAATCAAATTACTTTTGCAATGAGTGGTTTCGAAAGAGAAATTTCTAAACTTTACAATTGTAAAAAAATTTTTCAAAAAAACATTTAAATAGTATAAAAAATTTAGTTTGAAGGTTAAACTTGTAAATATCTCAAAACACGTTGTCTCCGATTTTGACAAAATCTATGTCAAAAGAAAGCTTAAATATTCTATTTTTTATTTCCGTAAAGTTTATAATGGACATTTTCGAGAATTTCCAGAAATTAATTAAAATTCTCAGACGTTTCGGAGGTTAAAAAGGATTGAAATTTGTATGAATGGAGAACCATTTCTTTAAGAGCGGATTTTGTTTTTTAAATTTAATTTCCATTAACCTTACATTATTACATCACTTGACATTAGAGAAAAAAAATATTGTAAACAATAAATATATTGATCTTTAGCTATTTGCAATTAAAAATTTTTCAAATTTAAAAAAATTATTAAGATTAAAATTGAAGTTTTAAAATTTATTTATTTAAAAATTTCGTAAAAACAAATGCCGCTGTATTTGAACAGAGGTTCTCTATTCATGCAAATTTCAACCCTTTTCAACCTTAGAACGTCTGAGAATTTTAATTAATTTCTCGAAATCCTCGAAAATGTCCATTATAAACTTTACGGAAATAAAAAATAGAATATTTAAGCTTTCTTTTGACACAGATTTTGTCAAAATCGGAGACAACGTGTTTTGAGATATTTACAAGTTTAACCTTCAAACTAAATTTTTTATGCTAATTAAACGTTTTTTTAAAAAATTTTTTTTACAATAATAAAGTTTAGAAATTTCTCTTTCGAAACCACTCATTGCAAAAGTAATTTGATTTAATTAAATGGGAGAAATAATTATTTAAAAAATGTCTTATATTGTCAATTGTTTACTAGGGGTATAATTTTAAAATAGAATGCCCCATATAAATATGTATATAAAAGCATATATAAGAGATTCTTTTTCAATCGCCCCAGCCCAAAAAGTCAATGTTCTAGGATTGGCTTCATACTTTGGTAAATTGTTGTCCTATATGATATAATAAATTCCTAAAATATAAACTCATTAAAAAAATATTCGTAGAAAGTAGAGGGGGTTGAAGTTTTGACGTTAAGGGTAACATTGTCATTTTTAAATCCGTATAACTATAACAAAACTTAATGGATTTTAATTTATCTATAATGAATTTTAATGCATTTTTCACGTACTTTTCAAAAATGTATACAAAATTAAAAAAAAAAATTTTTACCCCTTTTTTTCAAAATCAACCCTTATTTTTCGATTTTCACCCCTTCGGGTATTTTTTTTTTTTATTTTCATTGGAAAGCTGAGGTTTTTTCCCATGAGCTATGTAAATATGAAAATGGGACAACAATAATTTTGTGAGAAACAGAATATTAATGTAGGCGGTGCCGATAAGGGTGCAGTTAAGGGTAACATTGTCATTTTCAAGTCCGTATAACTATAACAAAAGTTAATGGATTTTAATTTATCTATAATGAATTTTAATGCATTTTTCATGTACTTTTCAAAAATGTATACAAAATTTAAAAAAAAAAAATTTTCACCCCTTTTTTTCAAAATCAACCCTTATTTTTCGATTTTCACCCCTTCGGGTATTTTTTTTTTTTTTTTTTATTTTCATTGGAAAGCTGAGGTTTTTTCCCATGAGCTATGTAAATATGAAAATGGGACAACAATAATTTTGTGAGAAACAGAATATTAATGTAGGCGGTGCCTACCTAAATCCTCGAAGATGATCTTTAGGTGTACCAGTTATCGGCACCGCCTACATTAATATTCTGTTTCTCACAAAATTATTGTTGTCCCATTTTCATATTTACATAGCTCATGGGAAAAAACCTCAGCTTTCCAATGAAAATAAAAAAAAAAATACCCGAAGGGGTGAAAATCGAAAAATAAGGGTTGATTTTGAAAAAAAAGGGGTAAAAATTTTTTTTTTTAAATTTTGTATACATTTTTGAAAAGTACGTGAAAAATGAATTAAAATTCATTATAGATAAATTAAAATCCATTAACTTTTGTTATAGTTATACGGATTTGAAAATGACAATGTTACCCTTAACGTCAAAACTTCAACCCCCTCTACTTTCTACAAATATTTTTTTAATGAGTTTATATTTTAGGAATTTATTACTATCATATAGGACAACAATTTACCAAAGTATGAAGCCAATCCCAGAACATTGACTTTTTGGGCTGGGGCGATTGAAAAAGAATCTCTCATATACATGTATATAATGTATCCTGTCGTGTAAGGGGGTATTTTCTTGAAAAAGGACATGTTTTCGTAAATTCGATTTTTCTCAAAACAACGTTTTTTGACCTGGCGGACATCCTAAAAGAAAAACTATTGTACCGATTATGCTCAAATTTTTATGGCTTATTGTACACATGTACCGTTATCGTCGCAACTAGAATCATAATTTTTCATTAATATTTAACCATTTTTTAAACAATTTAAGTTGAAAACAGTTTGACTTTGATTTTCAAGTTTTTATGCATTGAGCGATAACTTTTTTTATCTTGCTGCCAATTGTCAAGATAAAAGCTTGGCAATACTCAAAACCTCTTGCAGGTGATCTGAGGTTAAAATATTGACGTTGAACTTAATTTTAAAACTGTAAATTAAGGTCCAAAACCTCTTGTCCCCATTTACCCCAACTGACCCTAAACAAAAATCAATTACCTAAATTAATAATAAAATAAAATGGAAAAATAAATTTTTAAAAATTAAAAAAAAATTAAAAGTTGCAAAAATGAACTTAATAAATGATGAAAAATATGTAAACAAAATTATTAAGAAATAAATCTACAACACAAAAACTTATTGATAAATTAAAAAAATTAATAAAAAATTCGTCAAGTACGAGTTACACTCGCTTACTTAGGGTTCCGTTCACGATTATTTAAATTTAAATATTTAAATATAATATTTTAAAGGGGTTGGCTATATTTTATGTAAAATCTGCACATGAAATTAAATATGTTTACCAAGTTGCAGCTTCTTAGCTCCAAAACTGTAAAAGTTAAAGCGCGGAAGGATACGTTTTTTCGAAATTTCGAGTTTTTGTAATATAACAATATTCAATTCAATTCCAATCGGGTTCGCTATAATTTTCCTTTAACCTACTCGCAAAAATACGTATGTATACCAAATTTGAGCATCGTAGCTCCAAAACTGTGAAAATTAAGGGGGGGGCAAACTTTTTTCCGAAATTTCGTGTTTTTGTACTATAACTATATTAAATTCAATTCCAATCGGGTTCGCTATAATTTTCCTTTAACCTACTCGCAAAAATACGTATGTATACTAAATTTGAGCCCAATCGGTTAAAATGGCTATATTTTAGAGGCGGGGGACAGGATTTTGTGGACGGACATGATTGAAGCCATAAGGGTTTCGTTTCGGTTCACTGTGTGAACGGAACCCTAAAAATAAGTGAAATGCAAAATAAATTATTAATATATGCTGTTCTTTGAGACGACAAGAAAAAAAATTCCAAAGTAAAAAAAATTTGAAATTAAATTTTTTAAACGTACTACCATGTACTAGGAAATATGACAGTTTTAAAAAAATGTAATTTAATTATACATTTTCGTCCTTTACACGTATAGAAGGTTATGGTTATCGGCTTTTGCATGAAGCGTTCACTACGGTGACGCCCTAATTACATTTTTTTAAAACTGTTATATTTCCTAAAGTTTTGTATGTAATGCTTTCATACTTCACAGAAAACAACTTTATATATTAATAAACTTTCTTACTGGAAGTTCTTCCAATTTAAAAGTTCCGCGCATACTTTTCGTCGCTGAAATTGAAAAACTATATATTGACACGTCTCAATTTTTATTAAAAAATAAATAAACAATTGAATTTTCTAATATTTTCATCGGATCCTTTAGACTTAAATATGTAAGTACACCATTTTCTGTTAATTGAGGGGCTGGATACAATAACAACCAGTACGCTCGACAGGTCGCTCTGAAGCCAATCAACACGTCAAAAAAGTGAAAAAATTGAAACTCAAAATTCTGATTTTTTAAAAGCATTACTTTATAGAGGATAAAAACATGCATCTTTTTTCTCTCAGAAATTACTTCTAAATCCAATATTTTTGATAATAAAAGCAAAAAAAAACACAAAAAAAATTTTCTCCAATTTAATTAAATTTTAAAATATAAACGATTATTTCTTTCACAAATAGTAATAAATTTGTTTACAACTTGGTATTTACTAAATTAGGTCTAATAAAGCCATTAAAACATTAAAAAAAGGCAAAAATTAAATATTTTACATAATATTACTAATAATGTTAATATGTCTTGATTAATTTTTTTAGAAACTATAACAGGAATTGATTTGAAATTTTCCAGAAAACTTCCTGAAATAGTAATGAATAAATATTTTAAGAGAAGATGTAGAAAAAAAATTCTGTGAGAAAAAAGATGCGTTTTTTAATCTTCTATGAAGTAGTGCTTTTAAAATATCCGAATTTTGACTTTCAATTTTTTCACCTTTTTGTCGTGTTGACTGACTTCAGAGTGAGCGGCCGAGCGTACTGGTTGTTATTGTTATTGTGGAATTAAAGGGGGGAAGAAAGAGCATTAAGGGGGAAAAAAGATGAAAGGGATAATAAAAGGACGGAAGGGAGGGGAAAAGGGGAGTTAAAAATAGATTATTAAGTTTAAGGAAGGAAATGGAAAAAGTGATTAAAGAGATGAGAGAAGAACAAGTGAAGACGAGGAATGGGTGGTGGGACGAGGAGTGTGAGAACAGCAGGGAAGAATTAAAGGAATGTATGAAAGAACGGAAAAAAGTAAAAAATAAGAGGCATAAGGAACACGGGAAATTAGTAAGGAGGAAAAGAGAGATTTTTAAAAGAGTTCGAAACACCTGTAAAGGAGGAACGGGAATGGGAGGTGATAAATAGGAAAAGAAAAAGATGTAAGAGGCTAAATGGGGATATTAAAATGGAGGAATGGACAAAAGAGTGAAAGAAGATGGTAGGAGATAAGGGATGTAAATGGAATAACCAGAAAAAAACACAGAAGTGAACATGGCAATAAGGAAGCTTAAGAGAGGCGACAAAAGAGGCAATTTTAAACGCACTACGTCTCGTCTTCTGGAGGCAGGGTAAGACTTCGGTCTGGAAGAAGAAATTCCGCGTGGTTCCCGATGGAAGTACACTAAGCTTGTCTCTGCTAACTTACACCCACTCCTGTTGGGGTGTTATAGGAGCCAATACGACTGTAACTAACTGCTTCTTCATTTCATTGGGCACCCTCTTCTTGCACTCTAGACATCGTCTATATTGTGGAAAACAAGAAGGCATCACAAGGAATGAAAAAGATGTGCAAGAAGTAAGTGAATTTTTTATTTGAAATATTGGTTTACATTTAATGGGGGGCAGATCTGAATGTTAGTGGAGGAGTAGAAAGAGGGTCAAGAATGGTGGGACAGGTGTGAGAGATTGAAAAAGAATATTTAAGGATGATAGGAAGAAAATATTGTGGTTATTTGATGTGTTGGTATGGTCGGTAATGAGTTATGAAGTAGAAGTGTGGAGATGGAAAGAAATAGGGAAAGTGGAAAGAATGCAAGAGAGGTTATAAGATGGACGATGGGGGTAGGATGAAACTGTCCGAGATACATGTTGAGGGAAGAATTCGGTAGGGAAAAAATGGTAATGGAATGGGATGGAAGAGAAAGGGATTTATTGGTGAGGTGGTATATACGTAAGTACACCAAAGATAGGATAGGATGATTTATGTTGTAAATTTCAATGAAATTGAGAAAGTAAGAATTTTTAGTTTTTCTTTATTAGGTATTATTAAAAATAATAATCCTACAAAAAAATTTCAAAATCAAAAAAGTTGGTCATTTCTGTTCTCTACGTGGCAGTACGTTTAAAAATTTTAATTTCAACTTTTTATTTCTTTTTACTTTTGAACGGAGTTGACTACAATTAGAGTCACTGTCCGAGCATCGGTTCAGTTATTTGATCGGGACCCTCAATTAATATAAAAAATTAGGTAATTATTTTCTTACATTTTCTAGAGCTTAATATTGAGCAACTGTAAGTGGTTTGCTCCTCATTCCCTAATGGTTATTAGTAAATTACCAAAACTCAAGGAACTTAGACTGGATTCGTGTCATAGAATTGGAGAATGTTTTGCTTATACTAGTCTTGCGGCGAGATATGGATTTAAAGCTTTACAAGTAAGTATTATTTTAAAAATATATAGGTTATGATTTTATTTGTTACTGAAATTTTCAATTTTTTTGTTCCTTTGAATAGATATTAGATTTACGAAATACGATGATTGGAGATAGTGAAATTGCCTGCTTCAACTGTACGGAAACTTTAACACATCTTTATTTAGAATACCCTTCTAACATACGAAGTGCACAAAGAAATATTAACAGTGATAGAGAATCAGAACCTAATTATCCAGAAGAAGAAAGACCTATGGGAAGACCACGTATTTTTATTCAGGTTCATGAAGATCGAAATGAGGCTCAAGTTGAGGTCAGTCTTAATATTTGTGAATAAAATATTGAAACACAGAGTGGAGGGTAATATAAATTTAAATGATTTATTTATTTTAAATTTACTTTTTAAAATATGATTTTCAGGTGGTACATGCAGAAAATTACAATTGGCATGATATGGAACGTTATTTAGTTACGGATAGAACTGTTTGCTCTTTAGGTAATCACGTGTATGAACGCAGGATCGTTGACAACTCCAGAGAAAATTTACCTATGTTTCGCATTGAAGAAGATACTCGAGTTTGCAACAATCCTAATTTAAGAATATTGGTAGTAAGGTAATGTAACATTCTCTATAGTTTAATTTACTTATTTATTTATTACCTACGGGATGCTTGAACCAACTTTACAATAATAATTCAACGAACTTAGTGAAGTTCTTATTCCTGCCTCACGCATTACATTTTTTAGCCATCTGCTGATTGTTTGTGTGCTCACTTCTTTGGAGGGTTCTTTAAAGGAAATAAATAGTGTTTATTGATCCTCGTGGGTTCTCTGTTTTTTCAATATATTGATTGGTTGTTTTTCATACTGAGAAATTGACACTTTCAAAATAGAAAGAAAAGGTATAGGGCTGTTTTGCTACTCTGTTGGTGGTCTTGGTTAAATCTGATATTATTTCTACTCCTTTGTGTGTGATTTTTATAACTTAAAGTTTTATTAATAAGATCGACTGGGTCCTGATCGTCGTTGTCCCAAGTTGTCTTGTACTTTGGTGCAATTTGTTGCAATTTAAAAACACCTTGTAATGGGCTTTTTCTAAACAATTAAATATTTATCAATAACAAACAAAGAAATAAAAACAAATTATCAAAATCAATAATAAACACCTTTAAAACAAATAGCAAAATTTATGCCAAAGTCTTTGGCCCAAAACAATTGAGAGATGGGGAATATAACTTCCTAGCATTATTTTTGTTTTTAAGAAACATAATGCAAGAAGTAAATATAAGGGAACATTGCCGGTTAGCCAGGACCACATGGTCAAAGGAACAGAGCGTCGGGGTTCAAAGAAATCATACTCAATCAATTAATGAACAATTGAATTTACAATTTATTCAGCAATTTTCGAAAAACAACACTAAATCACAAAATTTTACTTAATTCTAATGCTCTTTGGCTTAAAAGTTCTCAAATTAAGGTCACAAATCAGTTTTAAATAAAGTGGTCAGCTTGGTTTAATTAAAGAGGATAAAAATATTTTACAAATAAGGTCACAATTTTTGGTAACGGGGAGATAAAAAGGGGGAAATTAAATAAATTACATTTTAATGTAAATTGGGGAAGGTAACTTTAACAATAAATGGGGAAACAAATATTAAAGAAACCAAAAATCGAGAACAAAAACGAACACATGGTCGAAGGAAGAATTATAAAAAATTTTAAATAAGAAGAATGAAATAATAAACAAAAAAGTTACTAAAATTAAACAAAAGAATCAAACTAGTAATTAATTACTTTCTTCCATCGACCCTGCGGTCGGCCGAACCACTGAGACCATTTACATAAAAGAAAATTATAAAATTTTAAAAGTTCAAACTTACATTCTTCACTAAATCACAAAAAGAGAGAAATACTGCCTCGACCCTCAGAAAGAAGAAGATTCACCTAAAATTCACACAAGTTGAAAATTTACTAATCCCACGATATACTAATAATAATAATTTAACAATTTCTGGTCCTCTTAGAGTTCCTGGAGTTGATTTAAAATCCGTCCATAGTTGGCGAAAGCAGAACCAAAAGAGATCGGAAGTAATCCTCGTTGCCAGCTCGCTGCTTCGCTCGTACCCCTCAATTTCTCCCATTTGAATTTTCAAATATTTTGTATTATTACGCTAGAGTCAGGTGCGTAGTTGCCGAAGAAAGTCGATGGCCATTTACAACTTTTGATTTCAGTTTTCAGCTTCCTGAACTCCGTTTTCTTTACCCTTGACTTCCTCGCCGTCCACTTTCAGGAATTTTGAGTAATCTCAGCCATGATTTTTCTCGTTTTATCAGAGAATTGAACTTATGTTTCAACGTAAATTTTGGGTGACAATTAACTCGGGCCTGTGTAACAGTGGTCTCGACTACGATAGAGAATTGACAATTTTTAGTTAGGGTATAAGAATTGGTGAGTGTTTTAAATTAATTGGGGTTTAATTTGAATAGTTTGGTGTATATATTTCGAAAAAGGGGTAAACGAGTATGACGAAACGGAGCAGTAGTGGCGATTCTGGCTACTTGATTGGATGAAAGGTGATGATATTCCATGTGTTGTTCGGCTGCGGGCGGCATTTTATTTTCCATTTGAAACTGCCTCGGCAGTTTACATAAATAAAAATAATAATTGTTAACAAATTTACTTATTAGTTACATAATTGACCTCGACTTGAGAACTCTCCACAATCGCCCACGGACGGAAACCAAATTTGTTTATAAAAGAAATTGTTTATTTACTTAATCTTTAATCTATTTAATTTAATAGTTTATTTACTTTAACAATTTGCATAATTTATTTACTTATTTATACTGTTTATTTACTTTATTTATTTAAAAAAAAACAAATTTTCGGGAAAGATTGTGCCACGTCACAACCTTTAAATAAACGATTAACGAGAAGTTCTTCTATAGTGTTAATGTTATTTATGAAATTCATAGCGGACCTTAAGGTGTTTAATTTACCGTACGCTGTTCCTTCCGAGAATTTTTCCGTTAGGTACCTGAGAATGATGTTTTCGTTAGCAAGAAGAGTATCTTGAGATTCTTTTTTACAAAAACGTCACCAATATTTTAGAGAGGTGTTCTATTGCTTACATGTGCTTTTTGTTAAGGACAAAATAATTATCTGGATAGTGCTTTCATCTAAATTATTTTTCTCGTATGTCCTTCATAACAAATTCCTGACACCAGGGTAAGGTCCGATGCGAGCGGGTGCACTATTTTTCTGCAAGAAGAGAGAAGAAGTTTATTAGATGGTTTAAATTCGATTAACTGTGATACGAGCATTCTTTTGAATTCATGAAACCAACGTTGGCAGTACTGCCGTACGAAGGAAAATCTCGGTTAATACATATTTTGGTGAAACAGAGAAAATGATGAAAAACTGTGTGTCTTTAAAAACCTAAAGTAATACAAATAATTCTTTAATCTAACTTCACTTCCTAGGTAAATTAATAGTGCTCTTTTTAAATCTTAAGTCAAAAATTGATTATTTAAACAAATTATATTAAAAAATGGATTTAATTTTTTTTAACAGAACTTAGTCAAATCGACTTAAAGAGTATTTATCATTGTCATTATAGAGAGTGTGATTATAAAAGATTTTTATAATTTCAAAAATTAATTAATTTATATGTATATGGGGTAAAATTCCTGTAGCGTACTAAGTGAAAAAGAAAGTTGATCGGATCGGGGTGTAACTTGCACATAGTTTAGCCCTATGGGTGAATACTTTAACCACGAAGGATTGTTTGGTTTTTTCAAAAACTGTAGGAGAGGGAAGGGGTTTAATTTTTTTGAAAAATTTATATAGTGAACTTTTGAAAACTTAAAACTTTTAAACTGAGAGATGAAAAAAAATTTGACCTATATCTTTTCGTAAGCTTATTTCTTGCTCTTTTGAATGGTGCAAAAAAATTTTCAAAAAATTCAAAATTTGACCATTTTTTTTAAATCAAGAATTTTTTTGACTTTTTTTTTAAGGTCGGTCTTTTTTTATTTATTTATTTTGAAGTTAAAAATGTGTATTTTCACTACAGTAAAATGTTAAAAATGTAAAAAAAACAATACAAAAAATGAAATATTTTACAAATAAATAAAGTTATTGTAATTTTGACGTTACTAATTGAAAGTTGCTTAAATTCTGCATCCAACGAGTCCTATATGGGGCATTTCACGTGACATTTTCATTCAAAAATTTTTTTGAATTGGAACAATTTTTTTCGAATTCTGTATGAAAAATAATGAAATTTGTGTTTTTTTATTTTCATTAAATGAAAATTACGGATTTTATGAATTTTTCAAAATTAACGTCTTCTGAAGTACTATACTTTTGTTACGCGTTTTTCCGTTATTATTGACCAATGGAAAAAAATGTACTATATGAAATTTGTCCAGTTTTTCTTGAACTTTTAAGATATGCCGTGCCATATATGCACGGACATGGCGAAACTTCTCGTAGTAAAACCTAATTTTTTGTGCCATTACATTTTCGGAGGATCAAAAGTAGCGTCTGCTGTGACGTCGGTGCATTTGTAGGAACGAAAAAAGTTTTCTAAGCGATGTGATAAAACATAAAAAAATGAATAAAGAAAACAAGAAATCGGTAAGGTAAGTTTATTGTATGTATTGTGCGGTTCATGATTGAAGAAAAAATGAACTGTAAAATCGAATCGCGAAACATGTCTGGTTATGGTTAGCACGATTCGAAAATGTTACTTCTACTTAGGGTTGGACACTTTACACACTCCGGGTTGAACACTTAGTTAATTATGAATTTGACACAATTTATAAATAAATATACAAATAAACATTGACTCACACACATCTGCACATACATAGCACATATTCTGCTAAAGATATTAGAAAAATAATAATAACGTTAAAAATGAAAAAATGAACCTAAAAATCGATTTCAGTAACGTTATAAATAATATTAATTATCAATTATAAATAATAATAATGTAAACTGAAAAAATAAAGATAAAAAACGTTTTCAGTAACGTTATAAATGTTATTTTATTTTTTTACCCATAATTCGCTTAGATTTTCACAAAGTGTCCAACCCTGAGTATAATGTCCAACCCTGACGAGATTTTTTTTAAATGATCTGAACTCTTTTAATTATAGACCAATCAATTTACGATCTGCAGCAAAAGTGTTCTTCTTTTGTAAATCTTTCTAACAATATAACTCAATTGACTAAATTTATTCTTCTTAAAAGTTACTTTTCTCAAAACCGAAGTCATCGATTTTCAATTTTTTTCTTTTAACGCAATCATTAATAAATAAGGAAATTCTTCACATTAATGCGAAAGTGGCGTTCTTTAGCTTTTAAACGATATTTGCAATTATTTAGGTAGTAATTTTCATTTAATAAAAATAAAAAAACAAGTATTTATTTCATTATTTTTCATATAGAATTCGAAAAAAATTGTTCCAACTAAGGGTGCAGTCCCATGTGGGTAGAATAGTGGAATAAATGTCGACCAATGAGATGAGTCTAGGGGAATTGGACTTAAGGTGTTAAAATGTGAATATCGTTTTGAAATCTATGTGTTTGATGGTTCGTGATAGT